TGTGGCAACCAGACACCTGTTCCTGGAGTGCAGATTGTAGGAACACAGATGTCCACAGAGAACCCCTGAAAATCTCTGAAAGGTGAGCACAATTTCCTAAAGACTACTGTGTTATAAATAATCACAGCACATATTGGTCATTTTAATAGATAGTAGGTTGCCTTTCTGACTTACGGTTTCATGGGTGGGGCTGTGATAAAAATAACTTGGTGATTTATAAAACATCTTAAGTCAACAGATCCCTAGTAGGTTTGTCTGACTTTACAGCCAACAGCCTCACCATCCTGGTTACCATAGAAATGGGATGCCTTGCTCTGTTGCTATGACTACCACTTTCTAGAACACAATTGGTGGGTCTTATGGTTTGTGATTTGGTTCTGGAAAAAAAATAAAAAGAGCCAGAAACTATCAGCTTGTGTTTGTGTAGCATCATCAAGTTATCGTACGTAGCTAAGTGTCTCTAAATTTTACGAGGCAGCTACTGCGCTGGCCAGGTTGGGGGACAACTACGTTTGGGCTGCCTGGCAGAGCTCTTCGTCCTCAGGTCACAGTCCCAGGGGGGATCAGCTGACCTGGTCCTGGATATGGTGAGGCTCAGATGCTCCAGGGAAGGGCTGGAAAAAGGAGCGAGCATCACAAGAATGGCAGTCTGAGGGCGGCAGGGAAGGCTGAGGGGGCAGAGAGGCAAAGCAGGCTGGATCTGCCAGAGCTGTGGGAAAGTCAGTCGCCCCCTAGTGGGGACAAGGTGGCGCAGGGGTGGGGGCGGGGCAAAGGGTTGAGCAGAAACTGCAGGGAAAGCGAGGGCGCCAGAGGCAGAGTGGTTGTACTGAAGTGCCTGGAGTCTATGTATCTTCTCTGAGGGAGGTGGGGAGGGGTTCGTATGCTACGTGGTTCTGCCACTACTCTCTCCATGGGCTGCTCTGCGTGTGTACACTTGAGTTGTTTGTGTGCATACTACTAGGGTGTGGCTGGTGGGGATGAGGTGGCATGTCTTGCTAAGGTTTCTGTGGACTGCTCATGTCCTCTGTGTGGTCCAGGTGCTGAGCTGTATTCTCCACGCCTATGCTCTTGTGTCTGAGCTTAGGACAGTGGTTAGGTGTGTACTCTGGGTTATTGAGTCTGTGGTCTGTGAGTGACTGTTGGCACAGATCCCAATGCTTGCCCTGTGGTGATGACCCCGGCATTGCTCTGGAGCTTGCTGTCCTGGGCTTCCCTGTCTGGGGCCAATGGTCACTATGCTCCCCCCACCCCCTTAGCTGTGCTCTCTGAATACTGTGAGGTCTTGTCTACCAGGGGCAGAGCAAGGATGCAGGATAGGTAGGTTGCAGGCTGAACCACCCAAGTATTAAAGGTACTTTAATCACTGGCCCATCCTCAAAGGACTGCTTCTGCCCCAGAGCTACTAAGACTGGGCACCAAGGCCTAGGATCTATTCAGTTGTGGCCACAATCACATCTGCCCTTCATCAGTTACAGGAACACCACAGCCTGCTCTTAGGGAGTCTGGGAAGTGGGAGCCATACTCAACATGGAACCCCCCAGGTCTGATCCAAGGCTGGCTTCTCAGTGAGCAAAGCTTAGGCAGCATGGTGGGGAGAGAGCCCAGCATCTGAGCTGAGAATGCTTGGCCTCTGTCTCATCTCCCTCTCTCTGAAGCCTTAGTTTTGTCCCTAAACCTCTTTGTTCCTGGTGTTCCTTCTGGACTCAGTAGGGATATGATTACCTGATCTACCAAGATGGTGCACACAGTAGGTTCCCTAACTTTGGTAGTTTTTTCTCTCTCCTCCCAATCTTGGGTTGGGCAAAGGGAGGTGCTATTTTGGCTTTGGCTGGGCCCTGACTGCCCTGCCATGAGCCTCTGAGCTTAGTAGAACACTGGGTTGTCTCAACAAGCCAGAAGCAGATTTTTCCACAGTTCCCCCAAAAAGGTCTACATGGACCCAGAAATCTTCAGGGCCCTGTGTATGGCAGCAGGTGTCATTCAGGGCCCTGTGTATGGCAGCAGGTGTCGGGGAGTCTTGCAGGGCTCTTCCTGGGAGCAGAGTCCTTCTGTCTGGTTCTTGTCTGGCTCTTGCTTCCCACCTCCTATCCCCCATTCTTTGTGCATTGGGGCACAGGCTGCACCTTGAGCTTGGATAACCATGGGTCTCTCTCTCTCTCTCTCTCTCTCTCTCTCTCTCTCTCTCTCTCTGTGTGTGTGTGTGTGTGTGTGTGTGTTAATTTCTGGTATCCTCCTTTGTTAATCCCCTTATGTTTTGAGACAGGATCTATCTCTCACTTGGCCTGGGACTCACAGATTCAACACACTGATTGGCCAGTCAGCTCTAGAAATCCACCTGCTCCTGCTCCTCAATTCTGGGATTACAAGCACATGCCATCACACTTGACTCTTTCCTTTTTAATGCTTTATCTTAGTTGTATTTTATGTGTATAAGTGTTTGTTTGCATGTATGTATGTGCATGTGCATACATGGTACTTGTGGAGCCAGAAGAGGGTATTGGATTCCTTAGAACTGAAGTTGCAGATGTGAGCCACCATGTAGGTTCTGAGAATTGAGCCAAGGCCCTCTAAGGAGCAACAGGTGATCTTAACTGCTGAGCCATCTCTCTGTGCCCAACTCTGTTTTGCTTTGTTTTGTTTTGTTTTGCCTTTCTGTTTTTTCCAAGCAGGATTTCTCTGTGTAACAGTACTGGCTGTTGTGGAACTTTCTGTGTAGACCAGGCTGGCCTTGAACTCACAGAGATCCACCTGTCTCTGTCTCCCGAGTGCTGGGATTAAAGGCCTGCACCACCACCGTCCAGCTCTGCTTTTAACATGGGTTATGGTGATCGAACTCCAGAATTCATGTCTGCATGGCAAGCATTGTACCAACAGAGTAGTCTCCTCAATATCTCTATGCTAATCTTAATAAGATCTGGCCTTTTCCTGGACCTCCATGTCCCTATGAAGATCAGTATTGGAAGGGGACAAATGAGAAGAGAGCTCTGAGGGCTTGTGGCCCTCCTGGGAGATCAGTGCCCTGTCTGGGCTATTCTCATGAGCCTTTGCAAACACTAATGAACAATCACTGGAGACAGACTCATGGCCTCCCTGGGTAGTTGTAGAGATTCCTTGAGGAGTGCCTTGGCAGGCTGCCTCCTGAGTACCACAGTTGCCAGTGGGAGCCTCACCCCAAGGGAAGGGCACTGAGGATGCATGGGATTTTCCACATAGAGTACATGGGCAGAAGTCTCTCTAGAAGAAGGACCCTTGGGTGCAAAGCCACCAGGATGAGGAGGTACTCACGTCAGAGTAGCAGAGAGGTACATGTAGCAAGAATGTTGGGTACATGTAGGGTGAGGACCCTGAGAGGTCAAGCGCAGCCAGGGCTGGTGTATCGGGCTGAGGACCCTGGGCTTTTCCCTGTGGATAACATAGTAGCTAGCATGAGCAGCTCTGGGACCAGTAGCCATGTGGCTGAGACTGAAGCCTAGAACCAGCTTTGACAGTAGTGGTCCTGTTGAGAGAGGGTACAGAGGAAAAGCTGTGGCACGGGTCACAGCAGGGGGTAGTGTGGCTTGTCCCTGGGGAGTCTAGAGTGTGAAGGCCAAGCTCCGAGAAGAGGCCCAGAGGGATTCCAGGTCCAAATACATAGCAGATGAGGGTGCATGGTGACTTGGAAGGGCTGAAGTTCGGGGCGAGCTGGAGTCGAAGGAAAATGACCCTTCTTTTTTGCCTTCTCTTTGCTTTCCTGGTTTGTCCTTAACGTATCCCTGGTCTGGAAGAGCGGGGTCCTGAAAGAGGAGCTTCCTGGAGTCAAGGGACCTCTTCTCTATTCTGCTTCCCTCAGCTTTCCTCAGCCCCATGGGCTTCAAAGGCTGCCGGGACTCATATTTTCAACACGCTGCATTGCACTGCCTTTGTGTGTGTCCTCCTCCTAAGCTGAACAGGGAGCTCCTTAAGAGATGGACTGTTGCCTTGGAAAGAGTGCTGGCCAGAAAGGATGGATGTGTGAACCATAGGATGGTGGGCAGTGAAAAGGAAGGAGGGAGGGAAGAGCAAAATAAGGACGGTGGGGGACAATTTGAAAATAGAAGAAAGAGATGGAAGGAAGGAAGAATGGTGGATAGATGGATGGGTGCATGAATGGAAGAAAGGAAAGATAAATGGGCAGAACGCAGGAGAGTAGAAGGAGGAGAGAAAGCAAGAAAGGAAGGAAAATGGATATATGGATGGATGGATGGATGGATGGATGGAAAGGAGGCATAGGTTCCTGGAAGGATGCAAATGGATTGCATTTGATAGTAGCCTATGAGAAAAGGTTCTGAAAATTGCATTGGTATTAGGCCAACAGGATGCCAGTGCACTGTAACAAGCAGCTTACACAGGCCTCTTCCTGTTTGTGGGCTCAGGTAGCATGCAGCAGCATCTTGTAAGACTACTGTCATTCTAAAAAACGCTGCTTTGACTACTCTTCTCTCCCCTCCCTGAAGTCCAGAATGTGGTTTGCAAGATCCGTTGGCAGGTTGGGCTTCAGGCCCCAGGGTTTTGGTCAATCCAAAGAAGCAATTCTGGGCCTCCCAGAGCATGTGGAATAGGGGAGGAGTGCCAGTGCCAACCAAACCTAAGGCTAAGGCACTTGACTTCCTGCTGCTAATTGTGTGTGTGTGTGTGTGGGGGGGGTCTTTAAGTAAACGAACTAGAGTCAAAGGAAATAGATACAGCCTCCCAGGGGCCTGGTTCCAATAGAGAGAGCAGTTTCCTTGTATTTCTTTGTACACTTCAGTCCCAGTGTCACTGTCAGCGTAGCTAAATACCATGACAGACACCTCAGATTCCAGTGGCTTAACACAGTACAAGCTTTTGGTTCTTTTCCTTTGTTTTTATTTCTCATCAGAGTATTTAGTGACAGCCCACACCAATGTAGCCAGGCTGCGTCTCTCTCATGGCTCTGCTGAACCCTGGAGCATCACAGTGTTTTGTCTGGCAGCGAGCGGGAAAGGAGACCTGGAAGAACAGGGATGCAGGCTTTATTGGCCAGGCTCAGCAGCAGCACTTACTCCGTAGGCTCCAAGGAGGATAATGTGATGTGTTGGCTTGGGTTGTGTTGGAGGAGCTCTGTGCACGGTGGGCTCCTAGTGCGGCACTGCCTGGATCCAACTCAAGGCACTCTGGGTTTCTCTCCTGAGTGGGAAGCCTTCCCTCTGACACCCTGTGTTTCTCGCCCACAGTATGTGGCCTTTGCCTCTCTCTTCTTCATCCTGGTCTCCATCACAACCTTCTGTCTGGAGACCCATGAGCGCTTCAACCCCATCGTGAACAAGACAGAAATTGAGAATGTTCGAAATGGTACCCAAGTGCGATACTATCGGGAAGCGGAGACTGAGGCCTTCCTCACCTACATCGAGGGCGTCTGCGTGGTCTGGTTCACCTTCGAGTTCCTCATGCGTGTCGTCTTCTGTCCCAACAAGGTGGAGTTCATCAAGAACTCACTCAATATCATTGACTTTGTGGCCATTCTCCCCTTCTACCTGGAGGTGGGCCTCAGTGGCCTGTCCTCTAAAGCTGCCAAGGACGTGCTGGGCTTCCTGCGTGTCGTCCGCTTTGTGCGCATCCTGCGCATCTTCAAGTCGCCCCGCCACTTTGTGGGCCTGCGGGTCCTGGGCCACACGCTCCGTGCCAGCACCAACGAGTTCCTGCTACTTATCATTTTCCTGGCCCTGGGTGTGCTCATCTTTGCCACCATGATCTACTATGCAGAGAGGATAGGGGCCCATCCTAATGACCCCAGCGCCAGCGAGCACACACACTTTAAAAATATTCCCATTGGCTTCTGGTGGGCCGTGGTCACCATGACCACACTGGGCTATGGAGACATGTATCCTCAGACGTGGTCTGGTATGTTGGTGGGAGCATTGTGTGCTCTGGCAGGAGTGCTGACCATTGCCATGCCGGTGCCTGTCATCGTGAACAATTTCGGGATGTACTACTCTTTAGCCATGGCTAAGCAGAAACTACCAAAGAAAAAAAAGAAGCATATTCCATGGCCACCACAGCTGGGATCTCCCAATTATTGTAAATCTGTCGTAAACTCTCCTCACCACAGTACTCAGAGTGATACATGTCCGCTGGCCCAGGAAGAAATTTTAGAAATTAACAGAGCAGGTAGGAAACCTCTTAGAGGAATCATGATCTGACTTTTCACCTCTGCCCCCTGTAGCAATGATTACAGATTCAGTCAGACTGCTTCCTTAGTTCCATGGGCAACCCAGGACCCTGTGCCCATTCTTGAGGTGTGGAGCCTGGGGCCCCAGGGAGATGCTGGGTGGCCAAATTCAGAAGTCAAGAGCTTGCTAGAGGAACCTCCCTGGTGGCTCTGGGTAAGGAGGTTGAGGTGGTTGGTCTCATGAGTTCTAAAAAGAGACCCCCACAGAAGTTTGCTGAGGACTCTCTTAGCAGGAGCCCAGAGGCTGCTGCTTGGTCAGAGGAGTAAGGTGTAAGACTCTGACAGGATACTGACCTGTGGTGGGCAGGGAGGGGGCGGGTGTGAATCAGAGACACCACACAGCCTTTGATTTGGTTTTTAACACGGGTGCCTTCAGGCTGTGTATACTGGCAGAGTGGTACATGAGATCCGGATAGCTGGGTCCCTGCAAAGGCAGTAGCTAGGATTCTCAGCCCTAGCAGAACCTTTCTCTGTAGATGAGTAGACTCCTGCTCTGGTGCCAACTACCTAGCTCCAGGTCTTTGCTAGGAGTTGCCCCTAGCCTTCCGTGACAAGCTTACTTACCCCATAGCATGCCAAACCAACTCATCCTCTGCTGCCACTCTAGAGTTTAGCATTTATCTTTAGGAATCTGTTGGAGTGACTCTGGCTTTCACGTTGTCTGTTTGGGTTGATGGTCCAGTGGGAGTTTCTGGTGACCTTCTGATGGCTGGTGAGCAAAGGACTAGAGGGGGCCACACCCCGGGCAGCTTAGATGAAAGCATTCTGGACCAGCAACAACCTCCCACCACTGAGAGTTGTTCCCAAATCTAGCAGTAGGGACTGCAGTAGCAGCAATACAAGACATCCCAACCACTTACCCATGAATTCACTGGGAGATGGGGGTGGGGGCGGGGGTGAAACAATACTAGTCACCGAGGGATATATTCTCATATTCCATGGCTAGTGGTTCATTATGGGACTATCTCAGTTTTATGAGAACTTGCACATAGCACATAAAGTTGACCACGGGGCTCTGGTCTGAAGATGAACACCCATAGTCTACCTCTACCCATGGAATCCCATTGACTTACTCTGAGGACACAGGGATCTCCAAGGGACAGATGACCCAGAGAAGAGTGATGACACTGAGCTAAGAGGTACCGGGTGAGTGTGAGGTTGGTGTGTGCTATTAGATTCATTTAGTCTATGAAGAGCACCCATGCCTGGGTCTGGAGGGGGGTTGCAAGCTAGCTCAGCCTCAGGCGAGAGAATGTCTCTTTCATGTGGGTGGCCTCCCTCGTGGGTGATCACTCTTCTTTGCTGCTGGTGTGCCACCTTCCCATCCTAGCCCTTTATCCTACTGGCTGGGGCAGCCTGAGCAATGTCCCCAGGCCTACTGCTTTGGCCATGGGACATTCCAGACTTTTCACCCCATTCCATTCCCTCTCTGTCCTGAGACTGCTGTCGGCACAAAAGCAAAATGTAGCTTGTGTTCTAGATTGGGGCAGGGAATGCAGGAGTTCTGTGGCTGAGCCCTCCTTCCCAAGCCATGTCTCCATGTATGGGAAGCCCCAGGCTAGCCATTTTACCCCAGGAGCCACCACCAAGGCATGGACAGTTTCCTCAGCTCTGGGTGGCCTACCTTCTCCCCCAGATCCACTGTGTGCCCCAGCAGGAAGTGCTCAACCAGAGTGGCATCACATGACCCTACTCAGTTTTTCTGACTCATCTTCCCCAACACTATGTCACCCAGGATCCAGGCTCTAATGGAGCCCCAGGTCAGCCATTGATGACCCCCAGCTCATTCTAGCCAGGCACAGATTCCTCTGCACAGTCAGTGACATTATTGTCCATGTACTGAGGGCACATACCAGCACACACACCACACATACACACACACCACACACACCACACATACACATACGCACCACACCACACACACCACACACACCACACATACACACACACACACACACCACATCACACACACACACACACACACCACACACACATACACACACATCACACCACACACACACACACACACACACACACACACACTCACACACACACACACACACACACACACACACACTCACACACACACACACACACACACACACACACACTCACACACACACACACACACACACACACACACACACCACACCAT